TGTGTGTGTGTATGTGTGGTGTGTTGTATGTATGTGTGGATACAAATTTCCAGTCACGTTTTAGGGCGCACGGAATCAACCGATTTGAATGGTTCAAAAAACATTCGATTCCTATTGATAGGGAAAGAGCTGATTAGTTTTTGGCAAGGGCAGGTCCAGCCGTTTTGGAGATACGAAGTAAAGAGTGCGGAAAATAGAAATCGAATTTTTGAGAGAACGGAGTATCCGATTTGAATGATCTAAAAAACATTCAATTAGTAATGATTGGGAGAAGTGTTTATTAGTTTTTGGCAAAGGCAGGCCCAGCCATTTCGAAGATACGGAGCTAAATTGTAAAAAATGGCAGTTTTTGAGAGAACTAAGCGTCGGATTTGAATGATTCAAAAAACTTTCTGCTTGTCTTAACAAATAATTGATTTTGGAAAAAAAAATTTTGTTCCATTTTTTTTTTTTTTTTTTTTTTTAGTTTTTTGTTGAAACAAATAATTTCAACTCTGCAATTCAGTTTATATAATTCTTATAAATATTAGACAATGTTACAATATTTATAATAATCTATTTGAAAACATTCAGTATTCCTCGAACATTTCGTTACGGTACGGGTAGTTCCAGCAATTTGCCTTAAGGCACGACGCCACCCACCCCACTAGTTTTTTTTAAATTGAATTCGAATTTTGAAATGACGGTTGTTAATGTTCTGGAGATAAATTGATTTATGATTTGATTTAGATTTGATTTGCTCAGATATAACAAGATAGCTAAAATAATGAAAGTTACAGTGTTTGTAATAATATATTTGAAAACTATATTTTATAATTCCTCGAACATTTCGTTACGGTACGGGAAGTTTCAGCAATTTGCCTTAAGGCACGATGCCACCCACCCCACTAGTTTTCTATTAAATCATCATACTACGGACATCATTTTAATGTAAATTCTATCCTTTGTACTTTCATTCAACTTTATGTTATTGTTCATCATTGTTACTAGATGTTAAATTATTTAACAGTTGTAACAAATATTGTTTTTAAAAAAATGTGTCCAAAATGCTCTTTCCATCAGTACTACTGTGACACCAGCTTTTCCACCATCATCCACCAAAGACCTTGTTCTCGTTAATCAATTTATAATTTATTTAAATACCTCATTTGCAAATTGCAAGTTGCAATAACATTTTCATCCGACACAATCTCTTGTTAAAAGAAACGAGTTTTCCTACCAGCTTCGATGTTAACTACACAAACATACACAGACACATATAAAATGTGGTTAATGAAATTCGCATAATTTGTCGATTCAATTCTTTTCCCTGAACTATTTTAATGCCATTTGTTGCAAATGTGATATCAGTACCAGTTGGACGATTGAAGTCGATGGTGACAAATATATATAGAGTTTAATTTTTAGTGAAAATTGTTGTGAAAAAATTAGGTGTTTAGTTTTTGACGTTTCCAGATTTCTGATCGTTTGGTATATTTTTGATGCACATATGGATACAATATTTGGCGAGACCAATCGATTTTGATGATACAAACAAACAAGTGCAAGGAGATCTAGTTTTTTAGGAAATACAAAGAAGCGTCAATTTAGCCAAATACTTTTGTTTGTTAAAATCTTATCTTATATATAAAAATGAAGCTCTCGATCCAATGATTCGCTTAAACTCGAAAACGGCTAAACCGATTTGGCCAGTCTTGGTCTTGAAAAATTCGTGCTAATCAGTAGGTCGTCAGTAGGAAAGGTGAGATATTATTTCATAAACGCGTAGAAACTTTACATTTTTAATTTGAACATTTTTGTAGAAGCGTAAGTTGAATAAAACAATGGACGGTGGCTAATACGTCAAATGTCAAACGTTTCTGACAGATGATGTTCAATTACTTTTAATAGGATGTTTTACGTGAATATTATTTAATAATGATTAAATTGTAGTAAGTGGTTTTATTTATACACAAAAACGTTATGAAACGGGCCGCAAGTGTTACTAGAGACTCAAAATATCAACTTTTTTGAGATGTTAATATGAAAATGCACTTTTTGGCATATTTTACTCAAACACGGTGCTTGGAAATATCTCATTTGTATAATTATATACTCATTGGTATTTATAAAACATTTTCTAGGTTATATTATTTTTCATTTATGTTATTTAAATTCAGAACCTAAATTTGGTATCGATGAAATGGACATTTTGTCAAATAACATTTTCCCAGTTATAATTTCCCAATTTTGTCGAAGAATAGATAGTAATATATGAAGGTCCAGCGTTAAAAAGGTTCACCACCGATGTGTTAAAAACAAGTGAAGTTAAGCATTGTTCAACAACAATATTTGAAAGTAGAGGGAAAAATATGTATAACCAGCTATAACCTTGATTCTTATGACTTTGCTATCGGGAGATAAACGGTAATCTTTGAAAATCCATAATAAAAGTATTTTCTTTCGTCGGTAGCTTTTTTAGCATTAGTCAAAAATGTAATTATTTTGTAAAATACCTCTAAAATTAAAATAAGACATTAAACCTGTTTGCCACCTGGCCGTTCCAAGTTACCCCGTCTATTGGGTAAAAAGACATAGATAAATTTTTGAAAGACGTCAAAAAAGCACATTTCTACAATGATGAAGTAGCTGACAGTTTTACTGAACGTAGTCAGATAATTGTTCGTTTCAAATGTGTTATTTGTTGTGATATAATTATTTTGGTTTTCACAATATAGTTTATATTTGCTCAAAGTCAAATTGGACCTTTGTGCCTCGCCCTGCTCTACATATATACTTTTTATTAAATTTACTTTAATTCATCGAATGTTGCTTGAAACTTTTCAAAAAGCAGGTCAAAGAAGAAATACTTAATCCATTTTCTATCTCTCCTCGCAGAAATTTGAAAATTTTGTATAAGCTCAGTAGTATTATTTACAATTATACACAAAATGCAGAATCCAAAAAGAATCTGAAAAAGTTGAAACGTAATCAATAAGTCGAAAGACCAAAAAAGATTTGGATTGGATTGTGCCATGTTTTCTATAGAAAGTGTATAAAACTTCCAGACAAAATATAGATTAATGGGGTTTATTGTTTTTATAATACCTCATTGTATATATAGCATTCAAACAACACATCCTTATACACTTAAAATATTAATATTTTTGATTCACTAGAATGTTAATTCTAGTCAAATCATGTGTTTAGAATATATCTTACTTAGCAAAACAACGTTTTCCGGGTCAGCTAGTATATTATAAAACAAAATTTTTAAGTTTGGATCAATACAAATCAAATGGTTTTTGTATCATCGAAATCGGTTGAGACGTTATCCAAACATCAAATATTGTATCCAAATGGACATAGTACTAAACCTTGCCAAAATGTTCTAGAGCACCATTTAATTTCAGCTTTTTTTTTTAATAAAGTTATGAACGATGCACTTGTAAAAAACTATTATTGTGTTAGTAAACTAGTAAATATGAGTGTCGACCAGTGTGAACTTCCAAACGATTTAATAAAATCCGAACTCGAACGCATACTTATCAAAAACAATTTTCAAAACGCCAAAATCACCGTAACTCTTGCATCCGCCAAAGGCGACAACTACATGGGCTGTCTCTTTCTCATCAAGGCAACTTTAGAAACACAATCTGCTTCAACTTTGAACCTAATTTGCAAAACAGAACCCCTAAATGCCATTACCAGAAGTCAACTACGAACCGGTATAATTTACCAACGAGAAACTTTTGTATACCAAGAACTGTTTCCTTTATACCAGCGTTTTCAAGAGGAGAAACGAGTTCCGAGACCATATCAGTTCCAAAACTGTCCAAAATGTTACGGAACCGGGCCAGGATTTTTATTCCTCAACGATCTGGTAGCAGAAGGTTACACTTTGTATAACAGGCTAAAAAAATTAGATTTTGTACACGTATCGAAAGCTGTCGAGGCTTTGGGCAAATACCATGCCGTAGGCTACGCCTTGAAACAACAACGGCCTGCTGAATTTAAAAGATTTCAGGCGTTGCAAGATGTCTATTACAGTAATCCGATTGATGAGGGTTTGTACAATTATTTTGGCGTAATGTTTGATCATGCCTTAGAGGCTTTGACGAGTGTTGAGGATGAGGATTTGAGATCCAAAATGAGGTTTTTGAAAGATAATTTGAGGAAGATTCTGCCTGTTCTGTTGGATGGTGAGAAAGCTGAACCGTTTGCTGTCGTTACGCACGGTGATTGCTGGAATAATAATATTATGTATAAATATGAGGTAAGAATATACAACAAGAACTAAACATCGTGTTTTTTGGGTTTGGTTATAGATAAAATAGCGTTGTCATGGCAACTAGTTGGTATGTGTATTTTGCCTTGAGGCAAGTTACATGAACTTTCCGGTATGTGTAAATAATCGACTTAATTAATAAAATATGCAGTAATTTATGAGTGATTAAAAGTATTCCGAGTGGATTTATTACACATAATTGAAAACGAACGAACACGTTAACTCGGAGTATTTTCTAAAAAGAAATTTTCAAAAATCAACAATTTTTACCTTCTCGTCCCGTAGGGTAGTTATAGTAATGGACCGAAAATCAAAAATGATTTTTTTTGCATTTCTCGACGTTTTGAAAGTTTCTGAACATTTTGCTGGCATACCTCAGAAACTAAATGGATGCGTGTGTGTATGTGTGTGTGTACGTATGTATGTATGTATACGGTCACCTTTTCGAGCGCACGAATCAAGCGATTTGAATGGTTCAAAAAACATTCGATTCCTATTGATAAGGAGATGTGCTGATTAGTTTTTGGCAAAGGCAGGTCCAGCCGTTACGGAGATACGGAGCAAAGAGTGCAGAAAATACAAATCGAAGTTTTGAGAGAACGGAGCATCCGATTTGAATGATCTGAAAACATTCAATTTGTAATGTTTGTGAGAAGAGGTGATTAGTTTTTGGCAAAGACAGGTCCCGCTATTTCGAAGATACTGAGCTAAATGTGCAAAAAATGGCAGTTTTTGAGTGAACTAAGCGTCCGATTTGAATGATAGAAAAAACTTTATGCTTGTATTGACAAAACAATTGCTTTTGATGATAAAAAATTATTACATCTTTTTTTATTTTTCATAAAATATTGGATTAAAAATTCAAAAATGACCCAGGCTAAGCACAGTCTAAGCGCCATTCTGGTACAAATGTTTACCCAAGTGCGTTTAGACTGCACTTTTCCAATTTTGTGAAAACTATTGAAAAATATGAAAATGCCGGCAAGCTAAGCACAGTATAAGTGAAAATGTCGCACAGAATTATTTGCAAATGCGTTTAGACTGTGACTGGAAGCACTTTTTCAATTTTTTGTGCAAATTAGGCAACTATTTTTTTTTTTTGAAATTGAATTCGAAATGAAATGACGATTTTTAATGTTCTGGAGATAAATTGATTTATGATTTACATTTGATTTGCTCAGATATAACAAACAAGATAGCAAAAATAATGAAAGTTATAGTATTTGTAATAATATATTTCAAAACGTTCAAAATTTCTCGAATGTTTACGGTACGGGAAGTTCCAGCAATTTGCCTTAAGGCACGATGCCATACATAACGTTTTAAATCGATTCGGTAGTATGAGCTTGGACGAATAGTTTAACACTTTTCCAAATTACAAAGAAACGGCTCGGCCGATCATCGCACAAAACTGACAAGCGATAGTCCTCATCGAGATACATCAAATGGCTTTTAAATTTCTCTAATCGGTTCACGCGTTTTCGAGAAAACGTCGATGAAAGGTCTAATTTTGACAAACGCCAAAAAAACGATACTAATTTTTGCAAACTTTGAAGAATTTTTAAAATTAAACGACTTGTCGTAGAACCGTCATATTTTAGTATTATCTATAAGACTATGGTATCTACCGTCAAAAAAAATCATAAAAATCGTCGAAATTTTTTTTTAACAATTTATTGCAAGAAAACGGTTCGGCCGATCTTTACTAAAAACTAATCAGCACGATTCCCAACCAATATCTATCGAACGGATTTTGAATTTTCAAAATCTATTCAGAATTGCGGGCTTAAACGTGGACGAAAATTGTTTCACTTTAATGCGATTCATAAAGAAACGTTCGACAAAACTGTCAAACAATAGTCCTTATTGAGATACATCGAATGGCTTTTAAATTCCTAAAATCGGTCCAACCGTCCAGTCGATTTACGGTAAAAAATCTGTTCACACACACACACACATACACACAGACACATACTTTTTTTAAATGTTGGTCTCATTCGATCCAGAATGGCTTGAAACGTCCAGGAGAAAACATAAAATTAGCGAATCGGATTTTTGATGAAAACATAAACTTCGGGAAGTTAACAAGCAAGGAAGAATGTTATGATAACAGTTGCAGGCAGTTTTCATAAGATTCTTCAGTGCTTTGTTTATATGTGTGGCGGAATGAAAAAAAATTTTCTTGACAATGTTCTTGACAGATGTCAGTTGATTGACGCCAATGTGATGACTAAACTACACAGCACACTTGGAGCTACGCTGATGCGAATGTCGCATCTAGCAAATTGTAGCTAGATTATTGTTTTCACGATCGTAAAAATGGTTCTCTCGGTTTTTAGTCAGCGATCAATTGTCGGGCTAATAAATTGATATCAAAATTTATATCATATCAGTTTCGTTGTAAATTGAGTTATCAATAAACTCACATTATCATCGAGTCTACAACATTGATTTACGGTTTCATTTCTAAATATAATTTATTAACTTCCCGAAGGAGAAGTTTATGTTTTCATCAAAAAATCCGAATTGCTAATTTTATGTTTTCTAGACGTTTCAAGCCATTCTGAATCGAATGAGAACAAATTTGGAAAAAGTATGTGTGTGTGTGTGAACAGATTTTTTATCGTAAATCGACGTTTTCTCGAAAAGGGCTGAACCGATTTCAAAAATTTAAAAACCATTCGGTGTATCTCGATGAGGACTATCGTTTCTAACTTTTGTACGACGATCGGCCGAGCCGTTTCTTTGTAAATCGCAGAAAAGTGAAAAATTTTCATCCACGTTTTAGGCCGCAATTCTAAATCGATTTTGAAAATTCAAAAACTGTTCGAAACATATTGGTTGGGAATCGACCTGATTAGTTTTTGGTAAAGATCGGCCGGGCCGTTTTCTTGTAATAGAGTGTTAAAAAATTTTTTTTCGACAATTTTCATATTTTTTTTTTGGCTGTAGATACCATAGTCTTATAGATCATACTAAAATGTTACGGTCCTGTGACAAGTAGTTTAATTTTAAAAATTCGTCAAAGATTGCAAAAATTAGCGTCGTTTTTTGACGTTTGTCAAAATTAGAACTTTCATCGGCGTTTGCTCAAAAACGCTTGAACCGATTGCATAAATTTAAAAACCAATCAATGTATTTTAATGTGGATTATCTTTTCTCAGTTTTGTGCGGCGATTGGCCGAGCAGTTTCTTTGTAATTTGAAAAGAAGTGTTAAACTTTTCGTCCACATTTAAGCTCATACTACCGAATCGATTTTAAAAAATCAAAAACTGTTCGAAAGATATTATTTGGGAATGATACTGATTAGTTTTAGGTGAAAATCTACCGAGCCGTTTTCTTGTAATTAACTATTGAAAAAAAAATTAAGCCGATTTTTATGAAATTTTTTTTGGCGATTTATATCATGGTCTTATAGAACTTACTGAAATATTACGGCCTTACGACAAGTAGTTTAATTTTAAAAATTCATCAAAAAAATGTGTAGTTCTTTGACGTTTGTTAAAATTAAAATTAGATGATCTACTTGGTATAGCGATACAGTGCTTAGTCTTAATGAACATAGTGAAACATTAACGTCCTACCGAAACTGGTTCAAATATAAAAATTGTTGATTTTTGAAAATTTGCTTTTAAAAAATAATCCTAGTTAACGTGTTCGTTGGTTTTCGATTATGTGTAATAAATCCACTCGGAATACTTTTAATCGAGCATAAATTAATTTATTTTTTATTGATTAAGTAGATTATTTACACATATCGGGAAGTTCATGTAACTTGCCTCAAGGCAAAATACCAAACCAACTAGTTAATATTAAATGGCTCACTATGCCATATATGTAAAATACGACTGATCGCACAGCAAATAGATAGACATTTTCATTTACCATGACAACGCTATTTTATGAGCTCTGTTACCCCAAAATTGTCTCATTTACTATTTATTACCAGAACAACGAACCAAAATGCGCCTGCTTGCTAGACTACCAGATGTGCCGCTACGGTTCACCTGCCTTAGACCTCGCCCACTACATTTTCTGCTGCACTGAAAAACCCTTCAGGGACACTTATTACACAAAAATACTCAAAACATACCACCAGGCCCTTGCCCAACTTTTGCACAAACTAGGATCCGACGTTTCGACAATCCTTCCTTATCAGGAATTAGAAAATCAGATGAGGAAATTCGGCTTGTACGGTTTGATAATAGCTACTATCGTCGTGAAAACTTCCCGGTCGGAAGGGGATGAAATACCTGATATGGACGAGGCTGCCAAATTGATGAAGGATGATAAGGATTATGCTAAAAAAATTTCGATGGGATCACAGGAGACTATGGGAATTTATAGGAAAAGGATGAGGGATTTGATCAAGGATTTGGACGCTTGGGGGATGCTGGAGTTCGATTGGATAGAGGTGGAAGGGTAGAAGATACTAGAATTTATATAAGTTGTAATGATAATTTTGTAATTCAAATAAAACTAATGCTTTTTTAATTTGTTACATTTATTTTACATGATTTAAAGTCAATAATCTGATTTTTGTCAGAACTTTTTGTAGGTGCCTTGGTTCTCCAGGATTTTCTGATATATTTACCATTGGGACATTTTCCTACGTTTATTTAAAGTACTCGAAAATTTCTATCTAGATACTCTTTTATAGTTTGTTTAGCTGAAACTAGATAAAATTTACTAAATTTTGATATAAACTGTCTTATACACTTTTATAAAAAATTTTTGAATAAACTAGTTTAAACTGGATGGATAGAGCAAATTTGTAATTGTAATATTAGGTTGTCAAATATCTCCCTTCCGCTTTTTTGCTCTTGGTTTATAATACAAAAAGGCGGAAGGGAGATATTTGACAACCTTATATATGAACATTGGGACATTTTTCTGCGTTTATTTAAAAAAACTCGAAAATTTCTATCTAGATACTCTTTTATAGTTTGTTTAGCTGAAACTAGATAAAATTTACTAAATTTTGATATAAACTCTTTTAAACACCCCTATATAATTTTTTAAATAAAAACTAGTTTGAACTCGTTTGGGACATTTTTCTATATTGTTTTTTGTTACATGATTTGAAGTTAATAATCTGTTTTTGGCCTTGGTTTCTCTCCTGGATTTCCTGACTAGGGTTTATACAAAAACCGACCTTTCAGAAAACCGGTTTTCGAATTTTAATTTTACTAAAAACCGGTTTTCTAATTTTATATAGAAAATAAATTTTTGCTCGAATATTCTAATTAATTAATAATTAAATATTCTAAGTAATTTATCCGAAAATTTAGTGTAATTTAGAATATTATTTGACTGAATTTATTTATTGTTCAATTTTATAGATAGTAAACAAATTTATTTTAATTTTAATTAGTAGAACTAAAAAATAATAGTTTATCTTGATTTATATATAAATAACTTTGAAAATAATTATTTGTTATTCATGCATCATTTTTTCATATAAGAATATTTTTATGATAGTGACATGAAAGTTTTCGAATAAATAAAAATAATACATTTTTAAATAAAAAAATGCATTAAATAAAAAAATATTAGATACATATTGATGCATACTTGCTTATACCAATTTTAGTTTTAGAAACAATTAAGCCAAACTTTTATTTCTGTTCCGAGCAATTTTTATTAATTAATTTCAAACATTCTAATTGTTTTTTGTTTAATAAAATATGACTTAAAAAAATTGAGAACGTCTATCGAATTGCTACTTAGACGTGTCCTTTGTTAACTCACAAAATTTCCTAAAATAGAAAATACTTTCATACTTGCGACCAAATTATGCTTAATTATTTTTAAAGCCTGATATAATAATTCTAAGTTTTTTGTTCTTTAATTTGTGGCTTTTAGGGTTTAAAACTCTTTTTTTTAGGCTTGAGTAGAGGAAGTTATTTCTTCAAGAAGAAGTCACACTGATTGAAATTGATATATACACTGGTATAAAAATCTAAATTATTATACACATTTCTGTGAACCATTGTAGATTGATAAGATATCAAATGCTATTGAAACGATATGATTTCAAGAATCAAAACGCTTTCATCTATCTTTTATATTTGGCTAAATTTTTCATTTTCCATTTATACAGTGAAAACCAACTTTTTTCACTGAAAAACCGGTTTTCGAATTCCATAATTTTCACCAAAAAACCGGTTTTTGAAAACCGACCAACTCTATTCCTGACACAATTACCCAGGGCAGGCGACGAGAACGTCTCTTTGCTCACTGGATTATAACATTTAATAACACATGCAACATTTTTTTGTGTAAAAATTGCATTATTAACACTTATTGTTAGTAGGGTTATAGTATAATAAATGCAAAAATTTAAAACTATTTTTAACTGTCGTACGGTAAGTTATAGTAATCGCAAAAAATCGAAAATGAAATTTTTTATATATTTTTACGTTTCAGAGATTTCTGAACATTTTGGCATACTAAATAATACTTAAATAATTCAGGTTTTCAAAATTTTAATTCAGCACGGGAACTTCCCTTTAAATTGCAATTATTATTAACATTTTGCAGGGTAAGTTATAATAATTGCACAAAAAATAAAAATATTTATTTTGTATAATTTTACCCTATAAAAAATTAATGAGTGTGTTTGTGTGTGTTTGTGTATGTATGTGCGGATACATTCTTTTGTTTTGTTCATTCTTTTGTTTATTCCGATTTTTGGAGAACGGATCAACCGATTTGGCTGATTCAAAAAACATTCGATTTCTGTTGATGGGAAGGTATGCTGATTAGTTTTTGGCAAAGGCAGTCCCAAGTGTTTTGGAGTTACGGAGTAAAATGTGTCAAAAATGGCAATTTTGTTTTTGAGAGAACAGAGCATTCGATTAGAATGATGTGAAGGATAGAACTGATTACATTTTTGGGGAGGCAGGTCCAACGGTTTTGGAGATTGAAAAAAATTCATCAGTTACGTAACTAATAAGCTATTATCGATTGACCGCGAAATTATTTTTATACGAATATTCTTTTTACTTCAGTCATTATCTTTAAAGTTGCGCAATTATCACATATTCGCGAAAATACAAAAAATGTGAAGAATTTTGCATACGAAGTATAATTGTTTTCATGTTTTCAAGAAATTGGTATATAAATATTTATTAGTAAATGAAACTAGGTGTAAGTGGCATTTTGACATAAGGCAAGTTGCATAAGCTTTTTTATATATGTGAAAAATCGTTTTGATCAACAAGATTTCAAATTTACTAGTTAGAAATTTAGATATTAAGCTTAGAACATACACGATGTATATTTTGAATTCCACCTTTTAATTTTTTTTTAATTACAATATTTATTACAACTGTTAAATAATTTAGCATCTAGTAATAATAATAAACATTAACAAAAATTAAAATAAATAAGAGTACAAGGGCTAGAATTTACAATACAATGATATACGTAGTATGATGATTTAATATAAAATAAAAGAAAATAATAATGATAATAAAATTAATAAATAAAATTTCTGAATTCCCACCCTTTGATTGATTGATTGAAAATGATTTTTTATAATTACACCGAAGACCATAGGCCTATGATATTTTACAATGTTACTCCAAATATTCAATATTTTTGTTTCTTTTTCATTAAAACAATTTACATACATCGATTTATCATTTCTTCAGCCAATGACGCACGACATTGAATGCAGTTTTATAGAAATCAATAATTATAGCACGATTAGCTGTAAATTTATGGTAAATAGCACGAATTCTAATTAAATATATTTGTTAACTTCCCGTAGGGTAGTTATAGTAATGGGCCGAAAATCGAAAATGAAAATTTTTGCATTTCTCGACGTTTTGAAGGTTTCTGAACATTTTGATGGCATACCTCAGAAAACTAATGGATGTGTGTGTGCGTTTTGTATGTCCGCATTTTTCGTCCACGTTTTCGGGCGCACGGATCAACCGATTTGAATGGTTTAAAAAACATTCGATCTCGATTGATAGAGAGATGTGCTGATTAGTTTTTGGCAAAGGCGGGTCCTACCGTTTTGGAGATACGGAACAAAGAGTACAGAAAATAGAAATCGAGTTTTTAAGAGAACGGAGTATCGGATTTGAATGATCTAAAAAACATTCGATTCGTAATGTTTGGGAGAAAAGGTGATTAGTTTTTGGCAAAGACAGGTCCCGCCATTTTGCAGATACAAGGCTAAATGTGCAAAAAAATGGCAGTTTTTGAATGAACTAAGCCTCCGATTTGAATGATCTAAAAAACATTCTGCTTGTATTGACAAAACAATTGCTTTTTAGGATAAAAAATGATTACACCGTTTTTTTTTATTTTCCATAAAATATTCTTGTAATTTTGGATTAAAAATTACAAAAACTTAGGTATTTTTTTGAAATTGAATTTGAAATGAAATGACGATTGTTAATGTTCTGGAGATGAATTGATTTATGATTTACAATTTGATTTGCTCAGATATAACAAACAAGATAGCAAAAATAATGAAAGTTACACTATTTGTAATAATATAACGGTACGGTAAAGTTCTAGCAATTTGCCCTAAAGCACGATGCCATACACACTAGTTTTTTTTATTGATTAAGGCGATTAATTACACATATCGGGATGTTCATGTAACTTGTCTCAAGGCAAAATACCGATGCCTTCTAATTTGTTTCACACTAGAATTGGCGCCTTAATTGAACCACTGGGCTACTATAGCCCTACAGAATGTTATTTATCAAATGCGTCGAAAAAAATTTTACCAATGTCTTCTTCTGGAAATTAGAAAAAGTGATACAACTATTTTATTTTATTGAGATAAATAAATTTGACTTTTACAATTTTTGTTTGTATATGTACATATATATATTTTGAAATATGTGAGTTTGGTGTTGATATATATTTTGATGAGTTACTTAGAATCGGGCAGTAATACCAAGTAAAAAAATACTAAAGTAGGTCTGAAATACTTTATTTATCCATACGTTTCGGTCTTCATCGGGACCGAATTGGTGTTACTGCCCGATTTTAAATAACTCATCAAAATATATTTATATATATATATATATATATATATATATATATATAAATATATATAACTTGTGTTTAATTACCCAAAAAACTTAAAGTATTGCAATTTATCATTTCATTATTCATATGATTCCCAATTTATCAGCGTGTCTGATGACATCACTCATCCTCTTCTTGTACAGCTTATAAACATTCTCGTCAACTATCAACTTATCTTCGGCCGACGAAAAATCGTTATTCTTAATACTTTCGGCAATTTTCTCCGAATCATACACTTCCGCGCCTTCGCCCAGGATCACCTTTAACAATATAGAAGCGAAGACAACTCCGTACATTCCGCCTCTTTTTTTCTGAGCTTCTAAGGCCGAGAAAGGAAATACTCGATCGGGATCTGTTCCCAGTTTCGACATCAATGTGCAGGCTGATTTGTGGTAATCCTTAAGGAGTTGATCGTAGTATTTCTCGCGAAATACCTGATCGAAACTACTGAACAGGTATTCGTAGATGTCGACGCAGGGTGAGCGGTAGTGAGAGAGCTGGAAGTCTAGGAGGTAGGCTTCCACCGGTTTTCCAGCCTAGAAAAAACTAGCTGTAAGTGGAATTCTGTCTTAAGGCAATTAAGGCATCGTGCCTTAAGGCAAATTGCTGGAACTTCCCGTACCAAAAATTATTATTTTTTTAAAAACGATTGACATTTTTTAAAAAAAAATTACTTCGAAAAAATACGATTTTTAAGAAACTATAAATTGGACAAAAAATTACTTTTTTTTGAAAAAAAATTTTTTTAAAAAAAAATTTTTTTTAAAAAAAAAATTTTTTTAAATTTTTTTTTTGTTTTTTTTTTTTGAAAAAAATTTTTTTTTTATTTTGACATATTGTGGAAGATCTGAACTTTCTTTTCAAAGCAATCGTACTGCTTTAACTGCATAGGGGCAAAATATAAAGCGCGTAAGCGCCGCGTCGCTGTCTAACGCATAAGCATTGGTACGGAACCCATAGGAATGTTAACAAAATGTATACTTATTGTTAAAATCTCTATAAAATATCTGATAATTTGATGAGCATATGTCTAATGATCATTTTTGACCGCCAAATGGCTTTTTTTTTTACTTTTTCCTCCATATCTCCGAAACCGCTAGAGCTACCTTCATGAAAATTTTATCGATTCTTAACCTTGTCAATACAAGTGAAATGTTTTTTGAATTATTCAAATCGGACGCTCCGTTATCTCAAAAACTGAGTTACCGCTTTCGGCACTTTTTGCCCCGTATCTTCGGAACGGCTAGACCTGCCTTCGCCAAAAACTAATCAGCATGTCTCCTTATCAATACGAATCGAATGCTTTTTGAATTATTCAAATCGGTTGATCCGTGTTCCCGAAATCGTCGACGAAAATTTGTATCCGCACATACATACACACACGCACATACACACACACACATACACATACATCAATTTTTTCTAAGGTATGCCAAAATGTTCAGAAACCTTTGAAACGTCGAGAAATGCAAAAAATTTCATTTTCGATTTTTTTGCGATTACTATAACTTGCCCTACGGAAAGTTAATAACACGGCTGCATGCTGATATTTGTTGAAATTTTTGATCGATTTGATTTTTTTTACTGTGGCGTTGACATTTGTCCGGCGTAACGCCGTAACGGACTTCCGTTCTGAATGAAGTTCTACTTCAAAATATTATGTTTATTATTATCTTCCCGTAGGGCAAGTTATAGTAATCGCAAAAAAATCGAAAATGAAATTTTTTGCATTTCTCGACGTTTCAAAGGTTTCTGAACATTTTGGCATACCTTAGAAAAAATGTATGTATATGTTTGTGCGGATACAACAGTTCGTCGAGGATTCCGAGACGGATGAAGCGATTTGAGTAATTCAAAAAACATTCGATTCGTATTGATAAGGAGACGTGCTGATTAGTTTTTGGAAAAGGCAGGTCTAGCCGTGTAGGAGATACGGGACAAAAAGTGTCAAAAGTGGGAATTCAGTTTTTGAGAGAACGGAGCGTCCAATTTGAATAATTCAAAAAACATTTTATTTATATTGATAAATTGTTAAAATTTGCAGAGGCAGGTCTTGCGGTTATGGAGTTTGGCGTTCAAAAATATTCATTACCCATATGCACATCAAATTATCAGATATTTTATAGAGATTTTATTAATGTGTACATTTTGTGTCTTTTTTCGGGTTCCGTACCAAGATTTTTAATTTTCAAGTCCTCTCATATGGTTCATTTGAATGATCTAAAAAACATTCAATTTATAATGATTGGGAGAAGAGGTGATTAGATTTTGGCAAAGGCAGGTCCGGTCGTTTCGGAGATACCGAGCAAAATGTGCCAAAAATGGCAAATTTTGAGAGAACTAAGCGTCCGATTTGAATTATTCAAAAAACTTTCTGCTTGTATTGACGAAACAATTACTTTTGAGGATAAAAAATTTTTACATCTTACACCTTTCTTTATTTTCCATAAAATATTTTTGTAATTTTGGATTAAAAATTCGAAAAATTACCCAGGCTAAGAACAGTCTATGCGCCACTCCGGTGCAAATGTTTACCTAAGTGCGTTTAGACTGTTTATGTTCTGGAGCACTTTTCCAACTTTGTGAAAACTATTGAAAAATGTGAAAATGCCGCCAAGCTAAGCACAGTATAAGTGAAAACATCGCACAGAATTATTAACTTCCCGAAGGAGAAGTTTATGTTTTCATCAAAAAACCCGATTCGCTAATTTTATGTTTTCTCGACGTTTCAAGCCATTCTGAATCGAATGAGACCAAATTTGGAAAAAGTATGTGTGTGTGTGTGTGTGTGTGTATGTGAACAGATTTTTTGCCGTAAATCGACGTTTTCTCGAAAACGGCTGGACCGATTTCAAAAATTTAAAAGCCATTCGATGTATCTCAACGAGAACTATTGTTTGTCAGTTTTGTGCGACGATCGGCCAAGCCGTTTCTTCATAAATGGCAGAAAAGTGAAAAAATTTTCGTCTACGTTTTAGCCCGCAATTCTGAATCGATTTTGAAAATTCAAAAACCGTTCGAAAGATATTGGTTGGGAATCGTGCTGATTAGTTTTGGGTAGAGATCGGCCGGGCCGTTTTCTTGTAATAAAGTTTTTAAAAAAAAAATTTCGACGATTTTTATGATTATTTTTTTGACGATAGATACCATAGTCTTCTAGATCATACTAAAATATTACGGCCCTACGACAACTGGTTCAGCTTTAAAAATTCGTCAAAGTTTGCAAAAATCAGTATGGTCTTTTTGGCATTTGTCAAAATTAGACTTTTGATCGACGTTTTCTCAAAAACGCCTGAACCGATTTTAGAAATTTAAAAGCCATTTGATGTATTTCGGTGAGGACTATCGTTTGTCAGTTTTGTGCAACGATCTGCCAAGCCGTTTCTTTGTAATTTGAAAAAAACTTTTCATCCACATTTAAGCTCATCCTACCGAACGATTTTAAAATATCAAAAACTGTTCGAAAGATATTAGTTGGGAATGGTACTGATTAATTTTAGGTGAAAATCTACCGAGCCGTTTTCTTGTAATTAACTGTTGAAAAAAAAATTTAAGCCGATTTTCATGGAATTTTTTTGGCGATATACATCATGGTCTTATAGAACTTACTGTAATATTACGGCCTAACGACAAGTAGTTTAATTTTAAAAATTCGTCAAAGTTTGCTAAAATTATTATCGTTTTTTTTAAAGTAGGATTAATGAAGTATATTATTTACACATTTTTTTTTATTAAGTCGATTATTTACACATTTCGGGAAGTTCATGTAACTTGCCTCAAGGCTAAATACCAAACCAACTAGTTTGCAAATGCCTTCAGACTGTGACTATACGGGAGCACTTTTTCAATTTTGTATAAATTAGGCAACTATATTTTTTTTTTAAATTGAATTCGAAATGAAACGACGATTGTTAATGTTCTGGAGATAAATTGATTTATGATTCATGATTTACATTTGATTTGCTCAGATATAACAAACAAGATAGCAAAAATAATGAAAATTACAGTATTTGTAATAATATATTTGGAAACGTTTAAAATTTCTCGAATATTTCATTAAGGTACGGGAAGTTACAGCAATTTGCCTAAAGGCACGATGCCATACACCACTAGTTATGTTTTTTTAAATAATCGAAACATTTCATACGATTCTATTTCTGTTAGCATATGCGTTCTAATATAATTTTCTTAAATAAAACCTGTTTAAAATCGAAATTTAAAATTTCTTTGTGACTGTTTGTTTGACAATTATTACTTACCTCGTCGTGTCTGTAAAGTACATTATTATTCCAGAAATCCCCATGCGAATATGTAGTATAAGGTTCAGCAAGGTCTTCATCGACCGCCTCGAGCATCACCGTCTGCAGGTTTTCGATTATGTAATCAACTTTTTTCTTCAAATCTTCTTCATCGTCCTCCAGAGTCTCTCGGGCGAATTTCATGGTTCCTTTGAAAAAGTCGTAAGTCGGTTTGTGTACCGGTTTTCCGTACAAATCCGGAGGAAGGTGATCGTTGATCACTTTGAAGTCGGTTGGATGCTGGTCTTTTAAGACGAGGCCCATGGCGTGGAATTTACCTGAAAAGAAAAAATAGAGTTATAGAATAGAAATGTAATATAGTGTCAATTAGAGATGGGCTTATCATATCCGAAGGCGGATCGGTTAGGATTTGACTTCGCTTCAGAGAGGAGTTATATCCACTTAACAACTCCGACAAATTTGAAACATAATACTTGGCACAAATGTGTTCTCTAGTATGTTGTTAACATATCTAATGATTTATTAAGACTTTGGAAAAAGTTTACAAATAGTTCAAACATTTTTGCTCATTATAATTTGCTTATTATAATAATTACTATTTTATGCATTTCAACATGCATACAAATCTCAAATTGACAAAAAACTCGGGAATCAAAATCAATTCTGTAATTATTTTTGAAGAGAAAATATAGAATTCTTTGAATATGTTTATTTTTATATGAAAACTAGTGGGGTGGGTGGCATTGTGCCTTAAGGCAAATTGCTGGAATTTTCCATACCGTAACGAAATGTTCGAGGAATATTAAACGTTTTCAAATACATTATTATAAATATTGTAACATTGTCTAATATTTATAAGAATTATATAAACTGAATTGCAAAGTTGAAATTATTTGTTTAAAGTATATTGGAACTATAGTCAGAATTAAAAATAAAATCGAATTATTTTCGATATACAAATTTTTTTTTTAAAAAAAAAATGAAAAAAAACTTGAAACAAAAAATTTTTTTTCCGAAGTTAATTATTTTGTTAAAACAAGCAGAAAGTTTTTTGAATCAATTAAATCGGACGCTTAGTTCTCTCAAAAATTGCCATTTTTTGTACATTCAGCTCCGTATCTTCGAAATGACTAGGCCTGCCTTTGCCAAAAACTAATCATCTCTTCTCCCAATCATTACAAATTGAATGTTTATTAGATCATTCGAATCCGATACTCCGTTCTTTCAAAAACTCGATTTATATTTTCTGCACTCTTTGCTCCATATCTCCGTAACAGCTGGATCTGCTTTTGCTAAAAACTAATCAGCACATTACACTATCAATGGAAATCGAATGTTTTTTGAACCATTGAATACGGTTGATCCGTGCGCCCGAAAACGTAGACAAAAAAATGCGGACATACAAAACACACACACATACACACACATACATTTTTTCTGAGGTATGCCAAAATGTTCAGAAACCTTCAAAACGTCGAGAAATGCAAAAATTAACAAAAATGGCGATAAAATGAACGGAAAACTTGAAAAATGAGAATAGAAAATGAGTGATGGTAGAAAAAAACCTGACAGATAAATAGGCCATTCTAGTCAGCTAAAAGAAATAAAATGAAAACTGAGGGATGCATGATAAGAAGAGTGATAAATGATAAAACCTGGCATATAGAATATACTTTTCTTTTGTGTAAAAATAAAGTGAGCTACAAAAATAAAACTGAAACTGAGTGATGTATTGTAAAAAGAGTGATGGAAGAGAAAGCTGAGGGATGCATTGTGAAAAAGTGATGAAATAGAAAATGAGTGATGGAAAAGAAAGGTGAGGGATGCATTGTGTAAAAAGTGATGGAACAGAAAAATGAGTGATGCATTGTAAGAAGGTTTATGAAACAGAAAAGTGAGTGATGCATTGCAAGATTGGTGATGAAACAACAAAAATGAGTGATGCCTTGTAAAAATGATGAGGAACAGTGAAAGAGTGATGCATTAAAAAAAATAAGGTACAGAAAAATAAGTAATTCATTGTATCACAGGTGTTAGAATATAAAGCTGAGGGATGCATTGTAAAAAGAGTGATGCAAGGGAATTGGGTGCATTGTGAAAAGGATAAGGAGTGATGGGTTATGTAATAGAAAAGTGAGTTATGTATTGTATCATGACAGTTGGTGATGGAATATAAAATGAGTGATGTATTGTAAAAAGGATAAGAAAGAGGAAGGTGAGAGATGCCTTGTAAGAGAGGTGATAGAATAGAAAAATTAGTGAAGCATTGTAAAAAGGATAAGAAAGAGAAAGGTGAGGGATGCATTGTGAAAAAAGTGATGAAATAGAAAATGAGTGATGTATTGTAAAAAGAGTGATGGAAGATGATTTGTAAAAAGTGATGGAATAGAAAAATGAGTGATGCATTGTAAAAAGAGAAAGAAAAAGATGAGGAACAGAAATATGAGTGATGCATTGTAAGAAGGGTTATGAAATAGAAAAGTGAGTGATGCATTGTTAGAAGAGTTATATTTTTTACAAATTTTATATTTTTTACAAAACTGAGTGATGCTTTGTAAAAAAAGATAAGTAACAGAAAAAAGAGTGAATCATTTGTAAGAAAGGTGTTAGAATAAAAAGTTGAGGAAAGCATTGTGAAAAGAATGGTGGGTTAGAAAAGTGAGTAATGCATTGTAAAAAAGAGAAGGAACAGCAAAATGAGTGATGCTTCGTAAAAAAAGATAAGAAACAGAAAAAAGAGTGATGCATTGTAAGAAATGTGTTAGAATATAAAGCTGAGGGATGCATTGTGAGAAAGGTGATGGAATAGAAAAGTGAGTGATGCATTGTAAAATAGGTGATGGAACAAAAAAATGAGTGATGCATTGTAAGAAGGAATGGAAATAGAAAAGTGAGTGATGCCTTGTAAAATAGGTGATTGAATAGACAACTGAGTGATGCATTGTAAAAAGAGTGATGGAATGCATTGTAGAAAAGTGAGTAATGCATTGTAAAAAGCAGAAGGAACAACAAAATGAGTGATTCATTTTAAGAAGGGTGATGGAATAAAAAACTGAGTATAAAAAAAGTGTTAGAATAGAAAGCTGAGTGATGCATTGTAAGAGAAGTTATGGAATTGAAAAATGAGTGATACATTGTAAAAAAGATGTTGGAGTATAAATTTGAGGGATGCATTGTGAGAAAGGTAATGGAATAGAAAACTGTGTGATGCATTATAAGAAATCTAAATAAAAAAACTGAGTAATGCTATGTAAGAAGGATGATGAAGGCATAGAAAACCCAAAAAGTGCAAGTGAGAGATAGAATAGAAATTTTTTGTCAACTAGAAGAAATAAAATAGAAAATGTGTGATGCATTGTAGGAGTGCAAAAATGAAGAAATATTAGAAAAAATAATAATGGGTTATTTGTTAGTGCAAAATTTAAAGTATGTGCATAGATTTGATAAAAAACTGAAACTTGATGGGCTTATGCCAAAAATTCAATTTAGGCTTTCCAATTGTCAATTGTTTGTACATTCGATGCAGGACACAAATCGAATGGTTCCTTGAATTTATTTTATACCATATTCATATTATATAATATAATATCATCATACCCAAAGACTCCATGGCCAACTTGGCGTGCTCGTATCCTATCGGTTGTGACTTATCCATCATCTTGAACCCTTCCCTTCTCATGTCTTTCATAAACAACGCCGCCTCTGTGAATCCATAACAAACAGGATAATGTTTGAATCTATCCTCATCAGAAATTCCCATTTTGTCTTGAAACTTATCGAAAAGTGGAAACAGATGGGTATAAAAAAATCTTTCTGTATCGAACATGACGTTGATTCTAAACTCTTGCAAGATCACTGCACTTTTGGGCTCAGATTTGCAAACTAGGTGTAGACTTTTATCGCTGGTTTCACTTGTGACTTCTATTCCCAGCATTATACCGATATTATTATCGCCTTTGATTGTTACTGGTTTTATTGCAATTAAAGGATCGGGAATTTGTTCGTTTTCGATTATCCTCAAAAGATCTCTTTTGAGCATCTCGCTCATATTCTCATCCATGGTTGTTGTAAGAAAGAATTTATTATATTATTAATAATATATTAATTTATTACAATCGCAGGTTTCGATAATGACAAGTTGACTTCTGTTTCGTGATTTTTGCACTATTGATAAGGTGGGAGCGATTCCGGTGATTTATATGCAGTTAGACAGGGCGTCGGTGGAAACGTTCGGGTGATGAAGAATTTTATGTTAATTAAAGGGTTCACAGGTGGTTAAACCAGAGACGAGTAGAGACGAAACATATTATAGTTTGAGAAAGTATGTGAGATAAAAATGAAAACTAGTGGTGTATGGCATCGTGCCTTGAGGCAAATTACTGGAACCTTCGGTACCAAAAATTATTAGATTTTTGAGAAATTTTAAATTTTTGAATAAAATTAAATTTTTGGAAAAAAAACTTTTGGAAATATGTTAATAAACATCGGTGTTCCCGAAGAAAGTTTGTACCCGCACACACATACATCAATTTTTGTCCAAGGTATGCCAAAATGTTCAGAAACCTTTGAAACGTAATGATATATAAAAAATTTCTTTTTTACACATACATGATTTTTTCCAAGGTATATATAAAACGTAAGGATATATAAAAAATTTTGTTTTTCATACACATACATCAATTTTTTCCAAGGTATGCCAAAATGTTCAGAAAACCTTTGAAACGTAAAAATATATAAAAAAATTCTTTTTCATTCCCATACATCAATTTTTTCCAAGGTATGCCAAAATGTTCAGAAAACCTTTGAAACGTAAAAATATATAAAAAAATTCTTTTTCATTCCCATACATCAATTTTTTCCAAGGTATGCCAAAATGTTCAGAAACCTTTGAAACAAATTTCATTTTTATACACTCACTCACGCATACATTTTTTATAGATTGACATTTTCTTATATTACAGAATTTTTTTATATATCTTTCCGTTTCAAAGGTTTCTGAACATTTTGGCATACCTTGGAAAAAATTGATGTATGTGTTTGTCAGTGTATAAAAATGATTTTTTTTATATATATTCACGTTTCAGGGGTTTCTGAACATTATGGCATACCTTAGAAAAAATGGATGTGTGTATTTACTGAGTGCGTGTGTGTATTTGGTGTGGATACAATTTTTCGTCCACGTTTTTGGGCGCACGGATCAACCGATTTGAATGATTCAAAAAACATTCGATTCCTATTGATAGGGAGATGTGCTGAGTAGTTTTTGGCAAAGGCAGGTCCAGCCGTTTCGGAGATACGGAGCAAAGAGTGCAGAAAATACAAATCGAGTTTTTGAGAGAACGGATTATCCGATTTGAATGATTTAAAAAGCATTCGATTTGTATTGATGGGGTGAAATGATGATTAGTTTTTGGTAAAAACAGGTCCATGCGGTTTTGGAGTTACGGAACAAATAGTGCTGAAAGATAAATCGAGATTTTGTGAGTCATTTTTTGACTCGATTTAATTCGATAAATTTTCAAGGGAATGTGTAAGCCAAATTATGCGAAAATGTAGCAAATTTTATCTAGTTTCAGCTAAACTAAAAACAATAAAGTACCCGCAATAAAAAATTTCAGGTAATTTAATAAAATGTAGGAAAATATCCCGAACTTTTAGCTCCAAGTTTTATTAAATCCGATTTTACCCGAATTTTATTTATACATTTTGTATGGAAGTGTGTAAAACAGAATATGAGAATATGACGTAAATTTTATCTAGTATCTGCTAAACTCAAAATACAATAGTTCCCACAACAATTTTTTTTAAATAATCCAACAAAATGCAGAAAATCATCTGGTTTCACCTACATAACTTTGTGCACAGTCTGCACAATTCATTTCGATACATTTTTACGACAATTCGTATTAAATTTGGTATCACCTGTATGTATGAATTTTACTACTCACCAGCTCTCGGTCTATGTTTACATTTATCGACTATTGTGCATATTTGTTTACTAAAACTATACTGCACTGGTGTCCATTTCGCATTGTTCTTCGTGCTGGCATTAATTATGATTAAATGCTAAGATATCAAATATTAAAAATGACAATGGTGATGTTGATGGTTACAATAATTATGGACTCGTTTGTGGCGTGTGAAATTATATTTGTTTATGAACACGTCAAATTTTTTTGAGTCGATGGAAAGATTTTTGAGTCGATTGGTAATGGTAATGGTAATATATATCGGTAATTGTGTGTGTGTATTGTTAATTACTTCTACCAGCTTCTACGGGATGTTATTAATAAATGAATGACTAATAATGAAAAGTATGCACAAATAATTAAACAAAAAGTTTGCTAGTACATCCTGCCTTATGGTTTGATAAGGTTAAGTTAAATATTCGGGACATCTTTTACAATTTTGTTAAATTACTTAAATAAATTTATTTTATTTTATTTTCAGTTTAGCTAAAACTAGATAAAATTTACTACTGTTTCTTATAATTTGTTTTATACACCCCGAAATAAAATTCGTTTGAAACCGGTCTTAAACATTGGGCTAAATATTCAGGACATTTTGGTAAATTACTCAAAGTTTTTTGTTGCGGGCACTTTAATATTTTCAGTTTAGCTAAAACTAGATGAAATTTACTATGTATTTGTGTAATCTGTCTTATACAACCCGATACAAAAAGTTTAAATAAAATACAATTGAAATCGGTGTTACATGTTGAATTATATATAAGGGTTAATTTTCTACATTTTGTTAAATTACTCAAACAAAATCATTGTGGGTACTTTATTATTTTTAGTTTAGCTAAAATTAGATAAATTTTACTGTATTTTCTTAAAATCTGTCTTATACACTCTAAGACATACAAAAAATTTAAATAAAATTCGGTTGAAATCGGTTTTAAAATGGGCCAAATTTTTGTACATTTTGGTAAATTACTCGAAAAATTTTGTTATGGGCAAATTATTATTTTTAGTTTAGCTCAAACTAGATAAAGTTTACTATATTTTCTTATAATGTATCTTATACATTTCAAAATATTATTATTTTTTTATATATTTCTATGTTTAAAAAAGAGTTTAAATAAAATTTGGTTGAAAATGGTCATTGGGCTAAATATTCTAGACATTTTTGTACATTTTGCTAAATTACTTAAATGAATTTGTTCCAGGTACTCTATTATTTTAAGTTTAGCAGAAACTAGATATAATTTACTATATTTTCGTATAAACTGTTTTGAAAACTCTTATACAAAAAAATATAGAAAAATTGATTTCAAATCAGTCTTGAACATTGAGTTGAATATTCGGGACATTATTCTACATTCTGTCAAATTACTTAAATAAATTTGTTGGCGGTACTGTACTATTTTTAGTTTAGCAGAAACTAGATAAAATTTACTTTATATTCTTATAAATCACCTTATAAATTCCAATACAAAAAGTTTAAATAAAAAATGTTTGAAACCGGTTTTAAACATTGGTCCAAATATTCTGGAAATTTTTATACATTTTGTTAAATTGCTCAAAAATTTTGGTTGCTGGCACTCTATTGTTTTTAGTTTTCCTAAAACTAGATAAAATTTATTAAATTTTTGTATAATCTGTTTCACATGCAAAAAGTTTAAATAAAAGTCGTTTAAAACCGGTTTTAACCCTTGGGCTAAATATTAAGGACTTTTTTATACATTTTGTTAAATTACTCAGAAATTTTTGGTTCAAGCACTCATTTATTTTTAGTTAAGTTGATATTAGATAAAATTTTACGATATTTTCTTATAATCTGTCTTATACACTCTTATTCAAAAAATTTAAATAAAAATTGTTTGAAATCAGTCTTAAACATTAGGTTAAATCCCTATAGATAAAGATATAGATCTATAGGTTAAATATTTGTGACATTTTTTTGCATTTCGTTAAATTACCTGGAAAAAATAATGTGGGCACTCTAATATTTTTAGTTTAGTAGAAACTAGATCAAATTTACTACATTTTCGTATATTTTCCTCTATACACTCCTATACAAAATTTTTAAATATTTTTTTTAAAATCGTCTTACATTGAATTATACATACGCGACATTTTAATAAAATTGGTATAATACATTTTGAAAAATTACCAAATTTTAAAATTGACAGAATTATTAATGAATAGTTTTATTTCCAATTTTGTCGTTTTTCACTGCTTTGTTATTAAAATAAAAACGAAAAACAGAAAAAAATGAGCGATATGCAAAATATTTCACTATCCATATCTGTAATTGCATGCAATTATTTTGACGCAACTAGTATTGTCACGTATTTGGAAAATTATTATTCAAATTCACTTCTACGTATAATATATATGAATATATACGATAGTGGTAAATTTTATCTAGTTTCTGCTAAACTAAAAATAATAGAATGTTCACGACGAAAGTTTTTGAGTAATTTAACGAAATGTAGAAAATTGTCCCGAACATGAAACTCAATGTTTAAGACCGATTTTAACCGTATTTTATTTAAACTTTTTGTATCAGAGTGTATAAGACAAATTATAGGAAAATTTAGTAAATTTCATCTAGTTTCTGCTAACACAAGTTGCAAGAAAATAAAGTAAATTTCTTCTAAACTAAAAATAATAGAGTACCCACAATAAATTTGTTTAAGTAATTTAACAAAATGTAGAAAAATGTCTTGAATATATAACTCAACGTTAAAGACCGATTTCAAACGAATTTTATTAACTTCCCGTAGGGTAAGTTATTGTAATGGGCCGAAAATCGGAATTGAAAATTTTTACATTTCTCGACGTTTTGAAGGTTTCTGAACATTTTGGCATACTTCAGAAAAAATGGATGTGTGTGTGTGTGTGTGTGTGCATGTATGTATGGATACAAATTTCCAGTCACGTTTTCGGGCGCACGGATCAATCGATTTGAATGGTTCAAAAAACATCCGATTCCTATTGATAGGGAAAAGAGCTGATCAGTTTTTGGCGAAGGCAGGTTCAGCCGTAGAAAATAGAAATCGACTTATTGAGAGAACGGAGTATCCGATTTGAATGATCTAAAAAACATTCAATTAGTAATGATTGGGAGAAGTGTTTATTAGTTTTTCGAAAAGGCAGGCCCAGCCATTTCGAAGATACGGAGCTAAATATGTGAAAAATTCAGTTTTTGAGAGAACTAAGCGTCCGATTTAAATGGTTCAAAGAACTTTCTGCTTGTCTTAACAAAATAATTGATTTTGGAAAAAAAATCTAATGCCCACAATAAAAGTTTTTAAGTAATTTGACAAAATGTATGAAAATGTACCGAATATTTAGTCCACAGCTCAAGACCGAATTTTATTCAAACTTTTTGTATCAGAATTTATAATACAAATTTTAAGCAAATGTAGTAAATTTTATCTAGTTTTAGCTAAACTAAATATAATAGAGTACCCGCAATAAATTTGTTCAAGTAATTTAACAAAATGTACAAAAATGCCCCAACAATTTAACCTCATATTCAAGACCGATTTGAAAATAAATTTTATTGGAGGGTTGTAAGTCAGATCATGTAATAAAATGTAGTATATTATTATAAAAATCTAGTAAATTTCATCTAGTTACTGTTGAGCTAAATGCCCAAAATAATTATTCAAATATTTGAAATTACCGCCAAAATGTTCACTCACGCCATCTTTGTCTCGATGTGCGACTTCAATGACGCTTCTATGACAGGTGCAAAGAACCTAAAGAAAGAATATAATTTAAAATAATGTAACAAAACAATCTACTAAAGGTATTTGCCAAGTGTTAAATAAGTAATAACTAAGTTAAATATTTTAAAAGTTAATTATATGTGGTAAATAGTTTAGTGGTGTTTAGTTTAATATATAATTTGTGTGTTGGTTGCCGACCCCTGTCATGAGCATTAACAGATGCCATGACGTTCAGTGAACATCAAGAATGTTTGAAAATTTGCCGAATTAACCTATAAACTTGCTAAATATTATTGGTTTTATGGTTTTATAAGTGTTTATTTTATTTGTGATTTAATATACAATACAAAATGAGCAGAAGAAAACACGATGATGACGATATCGGTTACGGGGGTAAGTTTAAAACTGTTAAATTGTGTTTTATTTTTTAGGTTATAAGTATCACACACAAAATTTTTCTTTATTCCACTATTTATTTTAGATCGTGGGTATAGAAAACGGCGTAGAGTATCAGAAAATCAAGAAATCGAAGACAGATTAGAGACTCTTATTATAAGAGTCGGTGAAAAGAGCACAGCTTCTTTAGAATCCAATCTTGAAGGCTTAGCTAGTGTCCTAGAAGCAGATTTAGGAACATTCCGTGCTAAAATTTTACGCATAATCACAGACTGTGCTTTAAAAATGCCTGAGCGATGCACTGTGTACACCACACTTGTCGGTTTATTAAACGCTAAAAACTACAACTTTGGTGGTGAATTTGTTGATTACATGGTTAAAACTTTTAAAGACTCGCTTAAAGCCGGTAAATGGGACACAGCTAGATACTCATTAAGATTTTTAGCAGACTTAGTTAATTGTCATGTGCTGTCAGCACCGTCACTCCTACAATTGTTTGATAACATGGTTGATGCTGCTAATGAAGACGGAGTGCCTCAAGTACGTAAAGACTGGTACATATTCGCAGTACTATCAGCTTTACCCTGGGTCGGCAGAGACTTGTATGAAAAGAAAGAGTCAGCTTTAGAGCATCTTTTAGTTTGTATTGAAGTTTTTTAAATAAACGTAACAAAAAACATCATTCAGCTTTGAGAGTTTGGTCCGTGGACAATCCACACCCGCAAGAAGAGTATTTAGATTGTTTGTGGGCACAGATTAAGAAGTTACGGCAAGATAATTGGCAAGAAAAACATATTGAACGTCCGTACATAAGTTTTGATTCAATTTTGTGTGAAGCTTTACAGCACAACTTACCGACGATAATGCCTCCACCACATAACGAAACCTATGTATACCCTTTGCCTTGGGTTGTTTTTAGAATGTTTGATTACACAGATTGTCCGGAAGGACCGATTTTACCTGGTGCACATGCTATTGAACGGTTTTTGATCGAGGAACATTTACACTCGATTATAGAGTTGTATCATTTGGAAAGGAAGGACTGTGCGGCGCATTTATTGAATTTCCCGCACAAAGCTAAGATTCCTTTAGATTATTGTATAGTTGAAGTTATTTTCGGAGAGTTGTTCAACATGCCTACGCCTCGGTATCTGGAAATCGCTTACGGATCTATTTTTATTGAGTTGTGCAAATTGCAACCGTCGACAATGCCTCAAGTTTTAGCTCAGGCTACAGAGATATTGTTTATGAGGATAGATTCGATGAACACTGCATGCTTTGATAGGTAAGATAAAAAAATCATAAAATTATGGATAATTATTACAAAAAAATTTATTTAACTTTATTTTTTCTAGGTTTGTCAATTGGTTTTCGTATCATTTGAGCAACTTTCAGTTTCGATGGTCCTGGGAAGACTGGGACAGTTGTCTGCAATTGGATCCTGAACATCCCAGGCCAAAGTTCATCAGAGAGACTCTTCATAAATGTCTCAGGTAAGAAATTTTTAAGAATTATGATTTTAATAAAGTGGCATACAAAATTGATTTACCTATGATTGTTTTATTTTTCAGACTGTCGTATCACCAAAGAGTGCAACAAATGATGCCTTCATCTTATGCGGCACTGGTTCCTGTACCCCCTACACCGACTTATAAGTATTCATCAGAAGGAGCTGGTGAGTCACCTTTTTTCTTTTATATTGCAATTACACCTATTCCTCATTTTACACTGAAGTTACGTTGCAGAGAAAACCGTGTAACTCGAAAATTTTACTTTTATATGGAAAATCCATGCTAAACGAAGATTACTATAAAAAAGCCCTTTTTGTCAATATTAATATAGTTAATATCAAACATATTTAATAAACTTTAAGAAAATTATTTGATTTCAATAATAAAACAAATATAAAAAAGCTATACTAAATATTGCATTTTCTTGCAATATTTCATTATAGATAAATTTAAAATGGGTTTGTACAGATATAACCTATTATTTACTCTCTACTTCATTTAGTTTCATCTATTATCATCTTCGAACTATATTTTTTGTTTAAATTAAAGATTTTGTAAAAATTGATTTTGTTATTTGTTCATCTTGTATAAATATAAGTTATCAATTATATGTAGACTTTAATTAACACAAACAAACTTTAAAATACGAACAATGACGCTCTTTGTTTTGATAATTCAAACAAACGAGCATATACACACATAAAATTTAGTTTTAATCATGAACATGGAGTTCCCATCTCATTCTACACATTTCCGTCATAGACATAAACTACTAAAAATTCATAACTTTATCATACATTTTGTAGTGTTGTTATTTGTGAGTAAAACAATTAAAATGTTTTTGTAGATATAAAAAATTATAGTTTAGTATTT